TAAGGCCAAAAAGAGATCAGGTTCATTAGGGCACCTAACTACAATTTTCTAGCAGTGGGTAAGATGGTGATGGTGATTGTGTGGCTCTGGAAGAAACAAAGACTTTAGAATATTTGACAGTTGTCATTTGATTTTGCTTTTCCTACACAGTTGAATTGCCTTTCACAAAGCCATCTCCCAGCAGCAACGGACAAGCACTAAATCACATAATAATTCTACAAAGACTCCTTTTCCTCCCAATTTCACTATAGGACACATTGGCATAATTTGCTCTGTTTCTCCACCCTACAGTAGAAGAAGTCCCATAACCTGAAGAAAGGTAGCACTGAAGTGATCTAAATATCTTGTACCTTCTAAGCCCAGAACCCCATGCCCAATCTTCAGTCCCAGATTCATCCCATACAACAACTTGGCAGCTGTCTGAGAGCTGTGATGTTGGAGCTGTTCCCTTTGTTTCTTTTGGTAATTGATGGAATGAGCAGGACTTCTCCAGAGAACTTTTATGTTCACCTAAGCATTAAATCACTCCTCTGCTCACTGACTCACCGTCCCTGGAGGTGTTCCAGAGCCGTGTGGATGTGGCACTGAGGGACATGCTTAGTGGGCATGGTGGGGATGGGCTGATGATTGGACCGGGTGATCTTAGAGGTCTTTTCCAACCTTAATAATTCTGTGATTCTGTGACGAGCAGAAAAGGCTGCAGTGTTGAAGGTTCCCCACGCGGGTGACTCAGGCATGCCCCTGCCTGAAGTAACATGGGACAAATCTGGGCCAGCTCCAGTTTTAAAGCTGCCACCTCCTTATCTAAGATTGCAGGTGTCAAAATCTCCTGGAAACTGAGCAGTAAGTGCTACAAGGCTGTAAACTCAGTATTAACTGACAATTCTGAAAATAACAATCTATGTGATGGAAAACGTGTGGGCAGATCAGTCTTGGGAGGGGGGTGATGTGTGGACTGCAGAGACTGTGATACACATTGTGACAGGCACCTCATGCTAACAGCCAGAAAAGTACACATTTGCAGCACAAAGCTGCAAGGTTCATAATGATGATTAAAATATCACCCATGGTCTGGTTGTGCAGTGTCTGTTGCACCGTATTACTGCTGTGTAACTGCTGCTGGATGGTGTCAGCCTGCACTTTTCCTAAAGTACAAGTAGGGAATCCATGGGAGAGAAGAAAATTCACCCTTCCCTCAGTGTTTCTTCCTAAGGCTCAAACCTCACTCCTGGTCTGTCATGACTGAGGTGGTTTTACATCCTCCAGGAGAAAATTGGGCTGTTGTGACCTTTAAGGTGAAACATTCACGAAACAAAGCTTGTCACTTGCTAGCAAGGCTTGAGCTGAAGGGGTTTGTATCTTCACATCACCACCCTGTCAGTGCATTACCTGACTGCCTGGCCTTCTGCTCGAGCTAATAGCAAAACCTTTTGTTTCCCTCCCAGGTTGGGGAAAGGTCCTTGAATAACATTTCAGTAAAGAAAAAAGAAAAATAAAGAAAAAATGCATATCTTATCCTTCTGCTGCCCCATCTACCACACACCTCCCCCCAGGGTTACGCTGAGGCAACTCACATTTAATGCAGATCTCTTAGTTGACATGTTTGCTTCAGTCCATGTGTAAGTTTTCTAGGTGGCGATTTTATTGAGGAAAGTGCTGTTTAGATTGTGTGTGCAAAAATCAATGGCTTGTAAATATATTAAAAAGACAAAAAAGAAAAAAAAAAAAAAAAAAGGTTAATTTTCAGTTGTGCAATAAAATTGTGAAATAATCCTCTCCATTCCTTCCTGGTGTCTGACTTGACATGTGCTGCCTTCAGGAGCTATTGTTTCTTCTGCTGGAAACAGAAAGCAGAAAGGTTGTGGATTGTTCAGTTTTCGTCTTTGAGCCTTTTATTACTTTTAATTCACTTTATCGTTGTCTTTAATCTGGTTTATGCCTCCAACTGTGGTTCAATCAGATGCATTAGCACAAGGCTGTCCCCGCTGAAGACAGGTGAGTCCTTATGTCCTTATCTGCTCTGCATTAATCCCAGGGTTATCTGCTTTTCTTGAGCTTGACCTGCTGGCTGTTGGCAGGACTCAAAGATAAGACTTTGGTAATCAAAGTAATCAAAGACTTTGGCATATGGGAGAAGTTGTTCAGTTCATACTTAATTGTGACAAGAGACAGATGGATTCCCTTCAATGAACAACATCTCACCAACACCATGGAAGCCAACCCAGCCCACAGGTTAGTATTGCAAATGCTTTATCTGCTGGGAGAAAGGGTGGATTTTCCATTATATGCAAGTCCTTCTCTTGGCAATAGAAAACACTAGGTAAAAAACAGAAGCCTCCACTTTTCTTTTAATTAACCCTTGCTGATAGATGGCTAATAAGTTTTTCAGGTGCTCAGAGCTGCAGCTGACCTCCCGTAATCTCACTTCAGCACTTACACTGCTACATCTTTCAGCACTTCCAAGTGAAACCATAAGAAAACAGTTCCCTCATTCCCTCCTTGCCACTTCATGGCCTGAGGCTTCTCTGCAGAAAAGTTTCATTACAAAGAAAGCAGATGAGGGCAGGAGTGGAAAGACAGGTCAGTTGCATAATTCTTTGTGCTTGCTTTTTTTCAAGCCAAACTTTTTAAAGTAGCATCTACTAAAGAGTGCATTTGTCAGCACAGAATTTGCATCTGCAGGGACATCATAAAGAATAGCTTGTCCCTAGATGTAGAGTATGGAGCCTCTCTGAATGATTCAACAGAATGTGGGCAAAGATTGGCATAAGTTGAAAAGCTGGCTGAATTGCTCTTCCCCCCTCCCCCCCCTCAATGATTACAGAATCAAATAGTTTTTGTGTGGCACTGGAACAGACTGGGGTACCAAGAAGACTTAAAGTGAAAGCACTGTGGATTCATTACCAGAGGCATAAATACTGGGAAAAGTATATATACATATAAATAGGTAGGAAAAAAAAAAAAAGAAAGAAAGATGAAAGGCTGGAAATATACAGATGGGGATTTTATGAGCTGAACTCTGCAGTCACTGGAGAGAAAGAGAAAAGCTGCAGGTGGAACTCCCTTAAATTCCCTGACTTTGCAGCAGAGCAAAGCTAGCTTGCATTGGGAAATGAATGACTGAGCAGGTGTAAGAAGTGAATGGCATTAACTGTGTAAATAGCAGCTGATTTTCAATAATCAGGTTCCCAGAAGGGATCCTCTGCCTTTGCCGTTTCTACATACATTACCCACAACCATTCTTACCCATCCACCTCTGAGAAATCAGTAATAAGAAAGAGAGCTTCCTTTAGGATTTGTGTCAAATATTAATGCCGTAGGACATATAGTAATGCAGATTGCTACGTGCTTACTTTGGGGTCAGAAGCTAGGTTTCAGCAAAAGAAGGCAAGCTGAGATCCTGAGATAAATACTGATGAGGCATTACGCAGCCCCACATCGTCCTAGCTCTTTGCATGACTCCCAGTGACCCATGTGCAACCTCAGCTACTTTTGAGCTGCCACTGACCAGGTGGAATGGGCGGACAAGGGATGCATGTGTGTTTGCTACCCATGGTATGTTATCCAGCTCAAGATCCAGGAGATGTTACTCGGGTGTCAGTGGGAGTTCTGCCATAGATTCAGCCATTTAAATGGCTTCAAGGAAGATCATTTCTCTCCCTAGTTAGCCACTTCAGTTTCTGTCGCTTATTTCCACAGATCGAATCTGGTTACTATGTCTTCACCTCCCTGTGTACTAAAAGAGTGTAGTCTACCGTTTCCCTTTTTTCCCCCCACCCAAATCATATCTCAAGAACAACTTGCATGATGGCAAGGTGTCTGGTGGCTGTGGGGGGAAAGAGAAAGTCAAAATCGAATTCACATGTCCAGAAGTTGGATTTCATAGTTAAGGCCCTGGAAGATTTATAAAACTCTAGCCTGGGTAATTTTGTATTTGAATATAAATAAAAGAGAAACATACATCTCTTCAGAGAAAAGCCATAATGGGGTGACAGTTATTCTTCCCCCCATTACTGACTGCATTAAATCCATAGCATCAGCTGATCACTAAATACCCTCTGTACATCAGGAGAGAAACAGGTTTTTTTCTGACACAAAACCCCAGTTTGGCTCCAGAGCTGGCAGCTACCTCAGGTGGTGAATGGCAGCAGTGTTTCTGAGCTTCTCTTCCAGGCTCTTTGCTGATGCAGCGTCTTCATTTATGCTAGGTTCTGATTTTTGAAGGTTAATTTTGCAAATATAAGAACTGTACACATTTTTGAAACAAAAGCCAATATTTTGAAGTGGCCACCAGGGAGAAAGATGAACAACCATAACGAGTTCAATTCATCCTCTGCTTCAGGGCATAACAACGTTCTTTAGAAGCAAATGTTCCCCTTTCCTGAACTGCACAGAAAAGTGTGAGGCATTCATATATGGTTACCTTCCCTTTACTGTGCCCTTGGATTCTTCTTTCCCTTGAGCACTCTTGGGTGTCTTATTGAGAGCAGCCCTTTCATACTGCTTTCTGGGAGCTGCCACCCCATCAGCCTCACTGCTGCTCCCACAGAAGCACCGTTTTCACTATTCCATCCCCTTGCATTCTTCCCCTATGCAGTGGCTCTTCAGGTGGTGAGGCTGTGTGCTCTCATACAGGTAGGCTGGAAGTCTGCAGAGCACAGGTCATTCCTAGCACTGAGAAAATTGCTGTGGAAACTTCCTGCTTGTTCTGGCTATACCACTACCCTGGCAGAGATTGGAGTGGTGGAGTCACTGCGTTTAAAGAAAGGGCAGATATGGTACATAGGGACATGGTTAGTGGGTGCTAAGAGAACCAGAAGTGCTGAGTCACAGTCTGAAGTAGTGATTGAGCACCTGGTAGGAAAGCAGGGCCAATCCTGGGGGAGCTCATGTGCACACAGTGCATCTCAGTGACCATAAGGGGTGGAGCCAGGATCCATTCCTTCCCAAACCTCATATAAGGGTTGGCACTGGAGGCAAGAGTGGTTTACTAGGGTTCCCTGTGTACCTGAGGTTTTATGAAGGTAAGTAGCTTTTTTTTTTCATTTACTTCTGTGTCTACAGATGTTGTATTTGAACAAGTCCTTACTTGCTGCAGGCTGGGATCTTGTTACTCTGGTGTCATTGCTGCATTTTCCATCGTGTTATACTGGGCAATACTGGTAGTAGGTGGATGGTTGAACTAGATGATCTTAGATGTCTTTTCCAGCCTTAATTATTCTATGATTTTTTGCACAGTGTTGTTCAGAAGTGCTGCAAGCTCACCAAGACCATGTGAACTCTCAGGTTATTTCAGTGAAGCCAGGTGGTTTCCTACAGGTTACTTTAGGAGCGGAAACACAAACCCTTGTCCCTACTTGCCTTTCCAGTAAAAGGTGTGCTCATCAACACCAGTTACCATGATGTCACTGTGCTTTTGCTTTCTGATATAGTGGAGCTGTATGGTACTGTATGTCAAAGCTGTTCTTGGACAAGAGCTTTCCTCTCTGAAGGGAATCGCCTTGCTATGGGGATGTCTGCCTACGCACGGCCAGACTTAATTTTGTTGTCTTCCCCCTGCAGAGAGGATAGGTTTATTCTGAGCAATGGAAACAATCTGCCAGTTCTGCTCATTCCAGTTAAGCACGAGGCACAGAATCTTAACTTTATGTGCCCCTCAAAATAACAACAGGATGTTTAATTTTCAGCTGGAGCCTGTAAAAGTCCTTCTGCCTCAGTACTGCACATAACCTTACAAACTAAAGCAGAACATGGCAGAGTCACAGAGCTGATTTTCCCTCCCAGGTACAGCATGGAGCTGGCCAATGACCTGGGCAAATGCTCCCTCCCTTTGCTGGCTGTCAGGGAGGGCAGGAATCAAGAGCCAGGGGGTGCCTTTAAGCTCAGTATCTTGAGTTTGGTGGTTATTTATTGCACTTAAATCTTTGTGGAATGTTTGTTTCATGAGACACAGATTTAAATTGGATGGTTTGTTGATTTGATTGAGAAAAGTCGTTAGTATGGCAGTGAAAACTTGTTAGTCAAAGATTTTTAACCCAGCTGTTCCTAGGGGGAGAAAAGGAAAAAAGAAAAAAGAAGAAAAAAAAAAAAAAAAAAAAAAAAATCAGATGGGATTTTACTGCTGATTCCAGTGCTAAATGTGGTTTGCTTCACAAGCTGTTACAAAGCTATATGCATGGGAGCCAGAGTACTTTGTTATTGAAAAGGGAAATATTGCCATCTCTGTTGCATCTCTACTTGACTTTGACTAGAAGACAATAGTGTAGGGCTGTTTGTGTGCTTGTAGTGACACCAGGTGAAAAAATGTGAGTAAATCTTTTCTTCTGGTGCACAGCTGCCATGAAGCCAGAAGACAGTTCTGAGGGAGCAGTGTTCTGCTGGCAGTTCTGTGGGGCTGGTTTTCGTAGAGCAGTGAGAGGCCTCTATAGGTCCCTTTGTTTCTGTTCCTCTCCCAGCTGGGTAGTTCAGGATCAAGATGAGTAAATTGTGGCTGATGCCCTGCACTGCAGGCTGCAGTACATGATGTCCCACGGGTGTCCAGCCTCCATAGTATGTATGCTGTAGAAAATGTGATTTACAATTAATAAATACAATTTAATAAATACAATTTAATAAAATTACTGTAAAGTGCATTTTAGTATTGAGTTATTTGAAGTAGGTTGAGGTTAATCAGTTTGTCAATGTAGCAGTAAATCCTAAAGAAGTAAAAATAAATTAAAAAAAAAAAAAAATTTTTTTTTTAAAGCCCAGTTCTATTAAATCCATATTTGACTTAGATGTTTAGATTGGCTGCAAAGAAAAACTTTTCTACCTGAGGACTGTGAAGCAAAGGCATAGGTTGCTCAGAGAGGCCATGTAGGTTCTATCCCTTGAGATTTTGAAGATACGACTGAATTGAGCACTAAGAAACCCAGTCTGACTTGAGAGCTGACCCTGCTTTCAGTAGAAGATTGTATCAGAGATCTTTTGAGGTCACTTTCTGTTCAATGGATCCAATGAAGTAGCATTACATTTGGTTAGTTCTTCTTTTCAGGGGCTGTAGAGATAGCTGGGAGAGGTATCTTAAACCTTTCTTGGCCCTTACTCCTCTGCTTTGCTGCTGCAGAGAGTCTTCACGAAATTTCTAATAATCCTCTGGAAGGTATGTGAGACAATACACTGAAGAAGCAGCGAGGAAGGAATGATGTGAGAGAAGACTGCTCAGAAAGGCAAGGATGGTGTATAAACAGTCTTGAAAGTGAGCCAGAGACAAATGGACTGGGTGGTGGGGATAGAAAATAGGCTTAGGAGAGGAAGAAGACCAACGTAAGAGATTATTAAGCTAGGACAGGAAAATGAGGAAAAGCAATGAAAGATCACAGGGAAAGCATGAAGGAGAAGCTTCTGTGTGAGCCACTGAAGGCAGCTGCAAATACTGGGCAGAGGTTCCTATGTGGCTTATCCATCTCCTGGATAAGGAGGATGCCCAAGAACGCGAGCAAACAGATGCAGGCAGGAGCAGGAATTTTCTGCCAATCTTTCTCCAGAGACTGCTCCCTGAGAGCAGTCACACCAGCACTACCTGCTGCTTGCTGAACTCAGCCCATTGGGGGTGCCTCTGGCTCCCTCTCACTAGAGCTGCCATCAGACTCAGCGTATGTGAGCTCATCCAACCTATACAGAAAGCCCTGCAACCACCCACCCATCACAGCTCTGCTCTGCTTCCCCACCAGCAGCATATTCTGGAAGCTCTGCATGCTCAGGTGCTCTCCTGCACACCAGCCAGTCTGCTCTCATCTCTCTTAACTGCGCTCTTCTTTTGCCGCTACATAAACCATGTACTGCTGTGAAATGAAGCTTACAGTCACAGGCAGAAAGCTTTTTAGTGCCATTTAATGCATGAAATCTCTTGCAACAGTTCCAAACTTGACTGCTTTGCTGCTGGAAACAAGTGATAGGAGAAGTAACAGCCCACGAGAATGATGCAATACTGCAGCTATAAGGTGGGTCTACCAGTGCCCACCTGTTCCCTAAGCTTTGTTGTGCTCCAGGCTGCAGTTTTGCTTGGCATCTCTGAAGGCATTAATGATGTCAGGTTGCAGAGTCCATTGCCAAAGGCTTAACCAGGCATGCACTGAAAATACTGAGAAATCATGCAGCACAAATCTGCTTATCGTTTACCTGCCTTAGAGCTGAGAGCCAGGGAAAATAGCTCAGGCTATTGTGTACAGCAAGTGATTCAGGAAAGTCAATTGCACAGGCTGCAAGATTGACAAGTAAATACATTTTTGAAAAGTGCCTACACAGAACTGGTTGGGCAGGCACAATTCACTGTTTTCAGGCAATGTGGGGATGCAGGCTGGCAAACGGGGCCACCTTGATCGCGTTCACAACCAAAGAGTTGTGTACGTGGGCTGGCATTGCCATCTGCTGGCTGCCGCTCCAGCTGGGTGCCACTGGGTGTCAGAGTATTTCAAGACTTTACTATGCTTATTCCTATGGTCATCACCACTTCTCCTTCCCTCTGCATGGCTGAGACCAGTGGTGGTCCTGCCTTCTTGTTCCCTTGGGGATGACTCCTCTGTTTCGCACTTTGTTCTTCTGATATTTTTTTTTTTTTTTCATTTATTCTATGCATGTAGTTTTGACTCTTTGTTTTCTCTAGCTCAGTACAAATGTTATTGCCTCTATTTGGGGTGTCATTGCCCACTGTGCTAGCAACTGTGTGGAAATGTTAGTTACTGTGGTTTTAATGAGTTAGCTAGTGAATGTTAACTATTGCTGTGTAAAATACTAAAAAGCAGTGAAAGATACTTTTGGAGAGAGTCAGAAGCTGAAACAGCCTTTTCTCTTTTTTGCTGGCATTCAGTTTGCTGGTTAATGATGTTCCTTCTGCTGCTCTTGACTAAGTTTCTAGGACAGTATTCTTTGCTGGGGACAGGCCCACAGCTTTTAGTGGTGTTGCATTAAAAAGAAGAACCAAGTTTGTAGCCCTAAGAGACTTGACTGCTCTTCCAGTATTAGAGTGCACACACTGTGGCAATCTTGCCTTGGAGAGATGGTATCTTTCCAGGAGAATGTGAATCTCTCAAACAAGAAAGGAGTAAAGGGAAGTTAAAGCCAAATTTGGGGTGCAGGATGAAAACCGAGAAACTTGTTTGTGAGTTGCAAATTGTCACCAGGGACTGAATATTTTTCCCCCTATTAACTGGCACCATGTTTTCCATCAAATGGGTTCATACTATTGCCTCATGCAATGCACAAAATTTTTTTTACAGCAAATCAAACTGAGAAAGAGCACAGAGGAAAGGCTGGGAAGTTATCTCCTGCCATAACAGCAACTTGCATATAGAACTAAGCTCTACTAGCTATGATCTTCCCTCTATGGTATGATATGCCTGCAGCAAGAGGGATTGAGCTTGATGATCCTTGAGGTCCCTTCCAACCAAGACATTCTATGGTATGGCTTCCAGATGAAACTTCGTGGACACTTCTAACTGCAAAAGTAACCAAGCATTGGATGAAAGTGAGAGTAACCATTGAAATAGAGTGGCCATCGCTTTTTTGTCAGATGCAACCAACACATGTGGGTATTTAACAGTGCTCAGCTCCTGATGGGTCTTGTGGCAACAGGCATATCAGTGACACCAAAATAAATGCATTGATAGTGGCAACCTACAAAATCTGGACAAGAAGCAAAAACCTAGCAGAAGAACAAGGCACAAAAAAAACCTAAAAAATGTCAGAAGACACTACTGGCTAAACACTGTGCAGGATGCTCAGTAGGGAAGGAAGTCCCGCAGATGATGTTACCTGGGGCTGAGAACCTAGATCTAATTCATATGTACCCTATAGTCAGATAAACTATATCAGCACAGTTCAGGGTAGTGGAGTTGAACAGAGATGGGTACAAAATTGCTACTAGATATCTCACACTTAGGGGAGCATCATGAATCACTAAAGTAGAGCACAATTCAGTCACCTTAATGAGCAGGGAGACTGTGCTTCCTGTATCTGTCAGTCATAAAGGAAATCCTACAAAGAG